GAAAAATCATCTCCTCTGGATCGATCCCGTAGTACTCTTGGGTCAAAGAAACACACTCTTCTAGGATCTCAACGTATAGTTTTGCATCCAGCCCAGCCTCGATATGAGAGATGAAACCTGGCCCGTCCCAAGCCATGCAACCCCACATCATAAGGGACCCTCCTCCATGCTTGAGTGTCTCATCAATCAATCGCGCCTGCATGCCGACCTTGTTGTTTTTCCAGACCCACTTGGTCCCATCGGAGCCATAACGGTTGATTTTTGTCTCATCCATCCATAGAACTCGTTTCCAGTTCTCCACCGTCCAATGCTCATATTGGGCCACAAATTCCATGCGCTTCTTGATCTGGTTAGGTGTCAACTTTGGCATCTTAATCTTGTGTTGAGCGGTTAAATCTTCCTCTCGAAGGATCTGCCGCACCCTACAAACAGAGATATGGACGTCCAGTTCCTGCTCGAGGTACCGCTGCACCTGAACTGCATTTTCCAATTCCCCGTTCGTTACATTTCGCACCATCAGTCGTCTTGTCGCCATCGAAACTCGGCCTGGTCGCCCTGCTCTTGGTCGCACCATGTTTGGGTCCATTTGCTTGGCTAGCTTGCTCACGGACGACTGAGATACGCCGAACTTATGGGCAATTGCCCTCGTGGACATCCCGTCGCGCAAACTAGAGCGAATCGAATCGACCTTGCTTTGGCTTAGCTTTCGCATCGTCTTGAATTGTTGCAGTTACCGGAGGAGGAGTCTAGGAAAAGAAAAGAGAGAGAAAGAAGTAGTTTCCGGGGAGAACCGGTAGTTTTGTTTTTTTTTCAGCAGGTGCACAAAGAATTGAGTCAATGCAAAGCCACCAGCAAATACCGAATAAATATCCAACTGTGAACGGTGCCGGCTCGGGGCGCCAGGCACTTATCAGGCACTACCTAGAGAGTACCTATTGTGCTTTAGGAGACTGTAGAGGCCCTACAGCCCATATTACAGGTGAAGAATGAAGAAATTGAAAAACATTGACTCAAATATTATTGTCACTGTATAATAAAGATCATCCGTTCTAGCCCTTGTCTCTTGTCCCCTGCCTCTCGTGTTCCTACCTCGTGTCCTCTTGTTCCTGCACTTGTTCCCTCCTTCGTTCTGTTGCTATTACACCAAGGGTGTGCGCACCCTGTTGCAAGGCCAATGGCATTCCCTGACCACCATGAGTACTGTGACTGAGGCTGCCACCACCGCGTATCTGAACTTGCGCCTGACCTCGGCTCGTCGCCCCCAACAGCCTTGGCGACCCCAGCCCCCTCGCAGCATCCCTCAGTCTACTCCGTCTCCACGTCCAGTCACCGTTGCTCGTCCAGGTCCAAACGACATGGAACTAGGAACCATGCGCGGCCCTCTTACCGCCGCTGAAAAAGATCGTCGCCGCAGAGAAGGCCTCTGCATGTACTGTGGCCAAGCCGGCCACTTTGCCAACAAGTGCCCCAACAAGCGCCCCTCCGGTCTGGGCCTCGCTGCAGTCCGAGAAGCCACGATCGAGTATGCTTTCGACACCGACGTGTCGGAAAACTTCAGCGCCTAGGGCAGCTGGAGGACTGTTCCCTAGGTGCCATTCATGCCACCTCCACTGTTCCTGCCCATGCCCATATCTGCCTTATGTTGCCTGCCACCCTGTATCTGACCCAAGGACCCTTAAAAAACATCCAAGTATTAATCGACTCCGGCGCCGCCCGCTCCTTCATCGATCGAAAATTCCTCCTGAACCACTGTATCCCTGTGCGTAACCTCCCCCGACTTATGAACCTAACCATGGGGGACGGCTCTTTGAGCACCGCTGGACCTGTCTTGCATGAAGCCTCTGTATGCCTGACCCTCGCTGAGAAGCACCATGAACAGATCCTGCTAAAAGTCACCAAGCTCGGCCAGTACCCTATCATCCTCGGGATGGACTGGCTCGCCACGCATAACCCTAGTATTGACTGGGAAAAGCATATAGTTACTTTCCATTCAAACCATTATAATACAGTTTGTATACACCATGAACCCTTGTCCGACGCTCTTACCTCTTGCTCTGTCCTTGAACCTGCCCTTGAACCCACGTTGGAGGAATATCGCCTCTGTCAACTCGCCCTTGCCACCATTACACACCTTTCCACTCCTCGCTCCAGTTTAGAACAACCGTCGCTCCTTTTTAGCGAGTCCGTCCCTGTACACCTCTCAACCATGTCCCTCTGTGCTTCTCCTGTTCCACTACCCAGCCTATCCTTGAACAACATTGACCCAACCAATCCTCCAGTCGAGATCTCTGACGCTTACCGTGACTTTGCCCGGCTCTTCGAAGATCGAGAGCTTGGCACCTTGCCTTCACATCGCTCCTTCGACCATGCCATAACTCTCGAACCTGATGCCAAGGTGCCATTCGGTCCACTATACACCTTGTCTCAGAAAGAACTCGAATCCTTGAAGGAGTACATCGAAGAGAACCTTGCCAAAGGGTTCATCCGCCGTTCCGAGCCCCCTGCTGGCGCTCCAGTTCTGTTTGTACCAAAGAAAGATGGATCCTTACGCCTCTGTGTCGACTACCGTGCCTTAAACAAGGTCACCATCAAGAACCGTTGCCCACTGCCATTGATAACCGAGACCTTGGACCAGTTGCGTCGCGCTCGAATCTTCACCAAGCTGGACCTCAAAGGCGCGTACAACCTTGTGCGTGTGGCCAAGGGCGACGAATGGAAAACAGCCTTCCGCACCCGCTACGGCCATTTCGAATATTTGGTCATGCCATTCGGGTTGACCAACGCTCCGGCCACCTTCCAAGCATTCCTGAACGATGCCCTGCGCGAGCATCTCGACAATTACTCCGCTGATGAGCAAGACCATGTCCAGCATGTACGGCAGGTCCTGCCACGAACCTATGCTTATTAGAGTCAAGATGACCTTCTTAAGCGTGGCAGGACAGAACAAGGGGGAGGAGATGCAGTTTGGGGAACAGGGTCAAGAAAGCGTAGATATATTGAAGTTGCTAGATAAGGAATAAAAGATACAGAACTACGGGATATATATATATGTTTCTCATTGCCTTCGTGTAACGGTCGTACGCGTTGCCAAGAGTCGACCGATCACTTGCCAAGTATCGATCGATCGTGTCGTGGCACGCGACAGGATCACAGTCTCATTGGGATTCGGGAGATCAATGTCCAAGTCCATCGCCATACGCTCATCGACAATCTTCAGGGCTGCAATGTTTGCGCTGAACCCATCAGTACCATGCCCTTGAGTATGCAGCTCAGGACTAGTTGGATTAGCAGAAGCGGCAGGAGTGGACATACTGCAACGGATCGAACAAGCCAAATATGGCAACGCTATGAACAGCAAAATATGGACACGGTTGGTAATTCTGACGAGATTGATACTTCCGTCTTTAATTATACCGATTATGACTATGCTGTACTACTGTCTCTACGAGACCAGTGTAACAACTGAGGAGGTCGTATAAGCCATCTATGACAATCTCTGTGAAACTTTCACAGCTTCGAGCACAAGCAATGAAACTGGCTCAAAAAAGCAGAGTCCCTCTTTTTCCTTCTCTTCTCTCCCAACACGCACCTTCATGTCAACTTCAACTAACATCAACCTCCCCGCTGAGAACAGCACTCCCCCCCTCTCCCCTCCGCCCTCTGATGACCACCGGGCTGGTAACGACAATACCTTTCCCATTGAGGCTGAAGCACCAGAAACTCTATCGGATGTTGGAGCAACTACAAAAGCGACTGGAAAAGCACCCAGCCGCTTCGACTTCCACACGGAATCAGTTCTGGAGTTGGTTCTCCTGCGTGCTCTGTAATTGCATCGACCATTTATTGGGCCTCATGGAAGCGTAGTCAAAACTTGGGGCAAAGTAGTAGACTATCTTCACGAGTCAGACAGGGTTGTGCGACCGACAAAGCCCTTCTTCACAAACGTGAAGCCACAGACTTGCAAGCTATCGTGGGAGCGACTGGCAGAGGAGCAAAAATAATATGAGGCCTATCTGGAAGCCGCCACTGGAATCGCACCTGAGGAGACAGAGCGACGGCAATTGATGGAAGAACTCTACCGTCTCAAGCTAGCAAACAATGAAGCTACAGTCGAAGCCAGACAGGATCGGACGCGGCAACAAGAAAATGCTGTTGAAGAGAGAAGGCTTGGCCAGCTGCTCCTGGATGCGGCCGAGTCTGCGGAGCTGAGACTTCGGATTGTTTCCGATAGCGATAGTGCCGCTCCCCCCACTAGGTACAGCAAGAAGCGGATCACCATACAACAAATCGAAAAACAACAACAGGAGGCTATTGCACAAGTGAAAGAACAGCGCGAGCTCATGGCACAACAGGTGGCATTGCAAAAGGAAGACATGGAACATCGAAAAATGCACGCTCAGCGACAGGAGGAAAAAGAAGCAGCCAGAGATGTACGACAAGAGCAGAGAGAACTCGACAAAGAGGAACGGTATGCCACAAGGAAAGAGGAAAAAGGGACGAGAAGGTTGGAATGGGAGCGCGAGAAGCAAAGACAAGAAGATATTAGGGACAGGGAGCGACTATCCCGACAGGACGATCTCGACGAACGACGGCACAAGGAAGCTTTGGAGGTCTTCAAGCAGCAATCAACTTCTTGCCCAAGTGATTATGAACATGCAGCAAAGGCGTGAATCAACTTTCTATACCTTTCAACCACTTATGCACATCAATAAAGAATGGTTTACCTGCTAAGATACGTGGCAGCAGAGGGGCTATCTAATCCGGAACGTGAACCTGTCTGGAAGCCATAGTAACACGTGTGGAGGTTAAAAAACAGGACCGCTACTTTGTAGTGCAATGCAAGAAGGGTAGCAAGGACGCGTGTGTAGGAGAAAAGTCCAACGCAGAATAATACCGGACGACTTTCCCTATCGCCCATTCGGCTACCACGCGTTGCTTGGCCATCGTTCGGTTGAATGCTCGATGGTGGGCAGGCATGAGCCGATGGTCGTGATAGGGCTGAAGCATATGGGCACCAATTTGGTACGCAGGGTCGCCATAGATAGCAAGCCTTCTCCCATCTGGTCTCCATGCATGCTGACGAAGAATACCGGCCAGGCCAGAATTCCTGTAAATAGTTAGGTCGTGAACGTTCCCGCGCGCAGCATTGCTCAGACGGATGATGATCCCGTCAGGGGCTACCAAGATTTGATATTTAAGAGCATGGAAGCGCTTGTGGCCGTTGTACATTGCCCTCTGTCCAAACGAGGGTCGGCTGATCTTTCTGGCTGTGCCATCCAAGAAGGCGAACACGGACTGATGTGCACCTCGAGCAGCAACGGCTCCAGCGTACTCATGAAGCTTTGCTCTTGTTAATCGGTTCTCGTCCCACGTTAAAAGGTGGCCTGCAACAGCAGCAGAGTCAAGGGGTCAAGGGCAGTGGTCAAGTAGGAATGCGTAGAAATGAATGCTGTTTAATGATCGTAAGTAGGGTCTATATATACATGTCTGGGGCCTATTGTACAGTGTCGTAGTGGAGTTGTCATGATGCCGGGCTCCCATCCTGGCTCTGTGTGTCGTAACCGTGCAGCTTGGTAACCGAGTGGTAATCCTGTTGCACTTCGCCAAAGTAATTTTTGTCTAGATAGTCCAAGAGCATGTCATGCTCCCGTCATCTTTCGCGAAATGACTTGATGAGGCTCAAAGCTATTCTCTTGTCTCTCTGGTACGAGATGCTGCGAAGATCGGCCCTAATCTGTAGGGAACGGCAAGAACAAATTAGACAAGCAGTTCATCGAAAGACATTAGAGCGCACAGGCAATGCTCTTACCTCTGCTCTGCAAGTCTGCCGTTGTGAAACAGGGATGGACGCAAGTCCTGGCGTCTTGGTCTTGACCTCCCTCTCCCACACCTTCAAAACGTGCCATGCACAGTAGAGAATGGGTACATCTGGAAACACACTCTTGATGGTAAGGATCTCCGTGTTGCCTTGGTCAGTGATGACTGCATTAGGCCTATACTCGTACTCCTGGCCAGGCAACGAGAAGAGGTCCCGCATCTTGTTCCGAAGCTCCTTTAGCCAATTAATGAGAATGCAGCACTCGGTGAGAAATATAACTGTCCAGAGAGTCAATGAGAACAAGAGAGGGATCTTTAATTACAGCGACTGAGCAATTACTTATTGCTCAGTGGCTTAAGTTAATATCTGGACTCAGTCTAGCTATCGAACACAGATACAGCGTGTAAAATGGGCTATATGCCACACGGCTCCCCTCCCATGGAAGAGTGAGTCGTACTGTTCTATGCGAGCTCTTATGATGCTGAATGTTTGTTGAGGATAAAATGTGAAAACCTCTGGTGATAGTTATGGGGCGAGGATAAAAATATAAACCTCTTTGATATAGGTGAGGATAAAAATATAAACCTCTTCGATGTATGATGTGCAAGGCATAAAAAGCTGATTCCAGCAAAAACCTCTTGGTAATGTCGATTTGACGAGGGATAAAAAGCTATTATGTAGCAAAAAACCTCTTTGATAAAGTGCGATCATTTGCGCGCGCGAAGGCGTCTGATATAGGGCTTTCTTCTTTCCGTTTTCTTCTGAGATTTGGGATTTGTATTGCTGTAATTATTAGGTTTGTTTGGTGCGGCATTTGTGCCATGCTTCTCCCAATAATCACGAATGCATGGTCTTTCTACGAAGTTTTCTTCGGGTTCCCAAGTACATTCCTTGTCAGAGTAACCCTTCCACTTAGTTCTGTACTCCCACTCCCCCTTCTTCGTAGGATGTGGACGATGATGTAGAATTTTCTCCACCACGTACGTTGGTGTTAAGCCAAAGTCTTCTAGAACAAGTTTGAGTTGAGACGGAGCGTATTTTCTACCAAGTAGGGCTCCTGTACCATCTCGCAGTTCATATGCGCCTCCTGTGGATCGGCGTACTACGGTGTAAGGTCCTTCATAACGTGGTGATAGCTTATCGCCTCTGATAGGATCGAGGGTCATAACCTTTGCTCCTTCGGGAAAGTCGTTATGTAGAATAGTCGCATTAAAGCGCTCAATCATTTTTTGTTGAGTTTCTCTCGACTTTTTGTCGATTGCGGGAGAAATTGAAAGTACCCATATAGGATTGAATTTGAGTATTTGTAGTGGGAGCAACCCATTGATCAATATTCGCCAGCTTCATTAGGTCAATTCGCTTGCCTGTTAGGTCAATGACGAATCCCAGAAGTACAATT